AAATAGCAGCCATAGTCACAATATCAGCCTAGGTGAAGATGGCCTCAGGGTTTAAATGACTTTCCAGATAGAAAAACATTCTATATTGGTCTTCCAAAACAACATGTAGGTTCATTAGCTGCCAATATTTACTTTTAAAAAGCTTAAGGGTTCTGTATGTAAGTATTTGACTCTTCTAAAGCATAGAAATACCATAATATGCTTGCAGATATTTAAGAAACATTTTAAGTAAACATTCTTGTTTATTTGGAAAAACAATATTGAAGTCACATATTCTGCTTTAAAAATGTCTGTTGCGAGCCGGAACATCTGTCTTTGTTTTGGTTCTTTAACCCACCCACTGCCACTTTAGCCAATTAAATTTCAGCACCCTGGGTTGCCTAGGTGGAAAAGAGCATATTTCATTCAGAAAGGCTCTCAAAGCATGCGTCAGTGACTGAAATGCGACATCTGGTGGACAGTAACACGGTCCGAAATGAGACACAGATTCAGAGTTTCACATGAGGTCATTAATTAGCAAATAATATAAATATTACAAATGTAAACATTAGGTACACAGGTTACATTGTAACCCTATGTCCTAACAACATGCTAATAAATGAATGATGGCTTGGTTTTGAATCACAGGTCTAAAGTTTAATTTCACACGGTTTATTTTTATTTTCAAGATCTGAGGGGAACTATCTGCTGCTGCTTTCAGTAGTAAAGCAATAAATGTCACGCAATATGACTTTCAAACTCACATTGTTAGCATTTAACACTGAATAAAGCACATGAGGTGTACCTGGGGTGATTATTGTCAGTTTTCTGTTGTTCAGCTTCAAGAAATAGAAGCATTTTCTAATATATCAATTTGAGGTATTGGTTAGAACAAAAACTCCTTTTAATATGAAAATATTCCTTCTATTATGTGCCGTTGCTTTTATATAGAACAGGATTTAAATTAGCCTTAAATTAGTCTTTAGGTTCAATCGTCAGGCACACTCCTGTTGGTCCTCAATCTGGAAACCTGCGCTTAAGTTTGTTTTGATCCAAGAATACAATACCTAGTTCAATCGCTGGGTGTTAAACTTACTGCACCTTTAAATAAATGTAAAAAGTTACCCAGACTAAAAGGTTTTTTTTTTTTTTTCATCATTCATCCGTAATGTTGTCTGCTGTCTTTGTCTGTCAAAGTCAATTTTGACTTAGTCTTTACACTTGCTACCATATGAAATTCCAACGAAACAATGGCTATATGCATCAATATGCAATCATTTTAAAGTATTATAAAAGTCTATACAAATTTTTGTTTTTTAATATGACGATAAAAACTTCAAATTATATGTAAACACTTTAATGCACTTATAAACCCAATTCAAATGTTTTTATTAATTTAAATAACAAGCTACTTATAGTGCAAACTGGAAACGGTTCAATACACCATTTAAATGTCTTTACATGATTGTTTAAACATATTTCAGTGTTTGGAAATTGTAAAATATCAACAGATGTTGCAAGAAAAACTCTGGGTGATGTTTTGCATTTTCCATCTTTCTAACGGTGAATCAGGAGTAATAACAAATTTCTTTCTTGCAAAACAGTAAAGAATTAAAAAAGTTCAAACCTGACAAAGAGAAAGACATCAATCATTTCTGTGTGGCAGTTTTTCTGGTAATTATGGGGTAATAAAACTCAAGACAAGACTCCTTCCCATTGCAAAATGATTTTTAAAAGCAAATATGCTACAAAACGTACACAGAAACTTTTCTGTGAAAGAAAATATAACATGCAACAACAAAACAATCACTAGTTATAGAATAAGCACGCCAAATAAAAAAAATTTAAAAAAGTATTCGGTTTTATTTAACAAGAGAAATTTTGTCATATGTCAAGATATTGCTGTGGGCAAATGTCAACACTTTTATGGTGATTATGGTCTCCATTTTAAAGCTGTATTGTTAAGTACTGTAAATCATTTAAAAAATGCTTCACTGATTGTGTGAAACCAGCATTTTTTACAGGGATGATGGCAGGTTAATATTTATTGTGAAAAGTCAATGCATTTAACACATGCATTTCTAAAAATGCCCATTGTTGATTTGTTATTGACATTGTAATTATGATTATTGATGTTGTTTGAAGCAATACATATGACTTTAGTGAAACTAGACTTTAGATTCCGTCTAGTTGTAACAGTTGTAATTACAGAAACTGCGATCATAAAACATGAGCAGAATGAATTTCGCTCAAAAAGCTGTTCTGAAGCAAACTTGTATTTCCCAAACGTTAATTGGCATGAAAGAAATGTTACACTTGCTTTCATGTGTTTTAATGCTGAGAAAAATAATGGTGCCTTTTGGCAAACTGACTAAATAATAATAATAATAATAATAATAATAATAATACAGTATGTTACAACTTTGTTTGAATTGCTATATGAGTTGCTAACTCTAACTCAGGGTAATACAGCACTCGTCATTGTCATTACTGTACTTGTACAATGACAGGACATAATATTTAAAAAGTAGTACTAGTTACTGCATTCTTATACATCTAGTAATATGTTTAAAAATGAGATACTCATAATATGAGTAATGAGTAATGGCAGTGTATTAAATCAGTAGCAACCAGAGCCTCTCAGATGCAAAACATTGGTCCACCAAAAGCATTCTAACATGTTAATCCACTATTGATCATTAGACATGTGGCATCTATCATTTCATTGTTTTATCTAAGTATTTTGTGCATTTTTGAAATATACTGAAACCAAACCTTGGAATATACCACATCACCAATGGACACATAGTGGGGATTATGCTAATTGTGATTGAGTGTGCATTTGTGCCATATTTAATTGACTGGAATTAATTAACATACCTTTTAAATTATTAAATCTGATGTTTACAAAACATTTTGTGAATCTGAAGGAGAGTTTTCAAGAAGTCGTATTACAGTTTTCCTTGATTGCTTTGACCTGGTTAAATAAACTAGGATCCACTTAGTTTTCATCATCACTATCCAAGCAGAGCAGAAGACACGTCTTGCAAATGTGTAAACCCTTTCTCATTGGTCTGACGCGTTTTTTAACATGGTTGTCATTCAAGCAGACAAAACTCCATTGTTTTAGACGTGGTAATCAAACAGAAACCATCTATTCCTAACTATTACGAATTACCAAGATCAATAAGAAATCACTGAAACACCTGTGTGACGCTTCTTCACACAAATCTTCAATTGGCAATCAGTCTGCAAATTTTAATAACAAAAAAGACGCCAGATCTGTGTTATTCTGCGTGAGCATGGATGGAGGATGTCAATAGTAGCTATGCCTCATACTCCAATAGATTGTGCTGTAGCTTGCTTTACATGTATTTTTTGTAATATTTACAGTATTTCAGTTTTCAGCCACAGTTTGAGAAAAAAATAGGCATGGATTCAATAAAAGTTGTATAAAAGCATTTCTTATTTCGGATCTAATTCTTTGCAAAAAGGCAAATTTGACAAAGCCTATATTAAAAAACACAAATGGCACTTGCAATAAGTTACAAGCAATAGTGCACTGATTCATTCTTGTGCAATGACTGATTGAAAGAGCTCATATACTTGTTTGCAAATTGTGTTATTTGAAGGCAAAATTTGATTTTGTTACATATTTTACATTTTTCTGCATGACTAGAGCCTTTTGCAAACAAAATGTGGTATTTTGACCATGAGTGCCACTGCTTAGGCCTATGTGTTGACCATTTTGACAATGTGGAGATTCAGTTGACGGCTGCGTCAAAGCAATCAAGAAAAACTGTAATTACGTCGATGAAAATAAGAGCAGAAAATGTTTGTTGACGACCTGTTTTTCAAGATGAAAAAAATTAGTGACATTAGATACTAACAGTGACTATATTAGCATGCAATATTGTTGATGGAAAAAGACGAGACTAAAATGTAGTCAAAAAGATAAAAACTATCTAACTTATTATTTTTTGTTATAATCAACTGGACCGCTGCATTGCACTGTTCATGGCAAAGAACATTTTTCATCCTTGTTTTTCATTGATGAAATTTACCCTGTTGGCAAAGTCTGTTTTACATGCAACTTGCTTAGAATTTACATCTACATTTAGATACGTTACATGAATGAGACCTATAGAAGTACATGACGACTCAATTTAAATATACAGTGGGTGATATAAGTGTTGAACACGTCACCATTTTTTTCAGAAAAAATTATTTTGTTGTTAAGATGTTGATAGCAACCAAAGAATTTCACGCAGTATATGCAATAGAAATTAAATGACACAGCGAAAAAGTCTTAAATAAAATAAAATGAAACAACACAGGAAAAAAGTACTGAACACATGAAGAAAGGGAGGTGTAGAAAGCCAATTAAAGCCCAGACAGCAGTTGAAACCTCTTAGTAGCTATTCATCAACCCTCTGCCCTTTCTTATTGTAAATGAATATCAGCTGCTTCAGTCCAAAATCTACATTTTCCATGGTGAAGATGAAACCAGGGTGGACATTTTAGTAAGAAAGTGATCCAAAACACAGCCAATGAAACTCTCAAATGGTGTCAGAGAAAGAAAATCAAACTGTAGAATTACCCAGCTAATCACCTGACTTGAATCCAATAGAAAATCAAAAATAAAGATTCAGATTTTTTTGTTTTGTTTTATTTTTATGTCTGTATTGTTTATGTTCTTACTAAAATCTAGTTCAATACGTATTCTCCCTGCTGTATGTATATGTTGGTGATTATTTATCTGGTTGATAAAAAACATGTGAAAAGAAATCCAATGTGGTGTGGTGGTCTAAATATCTAAAAATAATTATGAAAATTAACATATGTACATTCAAATTACACTTTATTAGCAATAGCCCTCATGTTTTAGCTTTATTGAGCCTTATCTTAAATTTGTAGGGTATTTTTCTTATATTTTAGTGGTCTTTGTTTCAACATGCCTCAATTCGTTTCTAATCCTGATGAGCTAACAGGGGGAAACAACAACTGTCAATAAAGCTGACCTGAACATCTGAGATGGCCACTGTGTTTTTGAAGACGATCCACTCTACAGTCTCCGAGCAGGGCGGGGTGGTCAGAGAGCCATTATAGATGAAATACTTTTCTGTGGAACTGGGAAGGAGACCCTGCATAGTGAACGGAGAGATGGAACCACTCTTTCCTGATCAAAAAAAAAAAGAAATAATAATTGGGAAATGAAGTGTTCCATTATATACTCACCTTTATGGAGAAAGGAATTTTAGTTTTTTTTTTTCTCATACAAAGCTAAGTGTGACTTTGAATAAAAAGCTATTTGTCTGGTTAACTTTTATGGTGCTTTTTGACCTTTGAAAGCATTTATTTTTATAAAAAAAATGTTGTAGATGAGGATGACAAATACAGTCAGGGGTTAACTTATATGCAAATTTAAATATGCCACAATGTTTTTTGTCATATTACTGAAATTGTTAAGAGCTAAACAACGTAAGTCTTGAAATATAAAAAAATGCTGAACATATTTAAACAAAATAAAATGATTTTTGTATATATTTTTGTTGATGGTATTATATGATTGTTATTGTCACTAATCACACTTGCCAATCAACCGGACTACACATCCCATAATTCTCTGCATCTCACAAATGATGTTTATGAACTTTGATTACGCTACACCTGCTGCCCATTATCACAAACTGAATATAGCCATGTGCTTTAGCCTTTGTTTGTTAGCCATTGAATGTTGTATGTGGATGCTGTCTGTTCTCTTGTGAATGTGTTTACTGTGGGTTTTTGTTCTAACCTTTGTTTTGTTTTTCTTTCCTTTCACATAAAGTTACAGCACGTGGATCCGCCTCTTCCCTTTTCCCTGGACTATTGTTAATGATATTATGATAGAGGATGATATAAAACTCAAACGGCAAAGGAAAAAGACCACCAAGTCTTACATGTATTGTTCATCTAAGAAAATAAGCCCCATTTACTCAATCTCGAGTTGTTTTAAACATGTATGAGCATCTTTCTTCTGTTGTACACAAAAAAAAAAGCAGGACGTTTTGAAAAATGAAGCCATCAACTGCTTGGTTGCCAGCGTTGTTATAATATCATTTTTTGAATTCAACAAAAAGAAGAAACTCATTCAGCTTTGAGAAAATTATTTTTGCATGAACTACTGTATATATCTTGAAATCGATAAAGCCAGTGCAGGAAATTTTCCATGCACTGCAGAAAGATTAACATCCAATCAAGATCAGTTTACTTGAACAAAGAAGTTAAGTCTTGCTCAGTGCTTAAAACAAGGAAAGGCAAGGCAAGTTTATTTATTTAAATAATATATAAATATTATTTATATGCATTTCATACACAGTGGTAATTCAAAGTGCTTTACATCAACAGGAATAAAAGAGACAAGTGTAAGAAAATAAAAACAAATAATACAAATTTTAAAATAAATAAATAAAAACAGATAAAAATGCATTAAAATAGGTTAAATGATAATGAAAAAGAAAAGAAAAACATAACAAGTATATATAAGTAAGTAACATAACAAATATCTGCCAATAGCTGGGTTTCCATCACCCTGTGTTAATTCTAAGGTGTTGCATGACAAATGAAAAATGCAAATGCAAAATTTTAATTCAAAACCCATTTAATCACAATAATAATAATAATAATAATAATAATAATAATAATAATAATAATTTTTCGCTTGCTTGAGGTGGTTTTGGACTTGTGTGAAAGGGTTCATGTAAATAATGTGAGATGTAAACACATTTGTTGAATAAACCCCATTATGCTTCCCTGGTTCACTGTTGGTTACTTGGTTACCAATACAGCAGTTGATGGCTCTAACAACTTGATGAAATTGCACCTAATTAGCATTTGGAATTTTAAATTTTAGCGAATTTTGAAAAGATTGTGGAAACAGTCACTTTAGTATGAAAGTTATTTCCTCCTTTGAAATTTGTTTTTAAAGCTATCAGCAAATAATTGGTGAATCATCATTTTTTCAAGTCACTTAACTTCTTATGTATGTTTTCTTGATTTAGGAAACTTTAGATGCTTTTAACAGGGTAGCAAGACAAAAAATGGGCAAGCACAACAGTTTTTTTTTTTTTTTTTTTTTTGTAAATTTAATTGGGTGTTTATTTGTGGAAATATGTGTTATGTGTATTACAACTTCCTCTCTATATGTTTCCTCTTTCCGGGGATACAGAATACCTAATGAATCTGAATCTGATTTAAGAGTATGGTTAGAAGATGCAGTAAATGTTATTTTATAATTTTGTGGACGGAATTATTCAAACCTAAAACTACTTTTTATAAAATGAATGGAAATGTATGGAGTTCCAGCTTTGAAAATACAATTTTGTAATGACGCCTTGCTATTACAATTCATTTAGGTATCTCTCAATATGAAGAACATGTTTCAAATGTTTATTTGTTGTTAAAAGTTTTTTTAAGTGTTAAATACATTTACATAATGTGCTGAAATCCTGCTTCAGACTCAAAATGAACAAAACTACACAGTGGTGCAGTTGCTAATCAATATGGCCATGAATACATAAATACATGAAAATATTATGGTATTCTGCCAGTATGCAATAGGATCTGTATAACATGGTAGCAGACTTTGTCATAAATACATGTATAGCAAATATGAGTTGTCACTACTTTCTTCCAACGACGTGTCTTCATAAAATTATATATATTGTTTAGTCTAATAATCAAAGTGGCAAATCTCTGTTGTCTTGTTTTCATTGAGGGAACAATTGATGCATACAGTGATGATTGAACAATTGTATTTTTAATCCTGCCTTACACTGAAAACTTTGAGATTATGAGCTTTTAATGTAAACATGAAGCCTGTACATACCATAACGGCTGACGCTGTTGACTGCATCAATTATAGCTGTATAGTTGACATTATCCTCAGTGCTTGTCTGTGGCGAGGAAAATAAATTAGAGAAATAGTTAGCAGCAGTTACAAAGTAATAATATAAAACAATACACGATAAACTATGTTGGAATATGGTAGCCATGAACATCCATCATTGATTTTTGTATTTTATTATGAATGTCAATGGCTACATTTACCACCATACATCAAAATGTCTAAAAGAAATTAATATAGACTTGGATCTCCTTGAGGGTAATTTAAATTTTACATTTAGGAATCGTAGAAATCCTGTAGGCTTACATTTTTCTAGCATTCAGAGTGAAATATAATATTCATTCATTCATTTTCTTTCGGCTTATTCCCTTTATTAATCTATAGTCGCCACAGCAGAATGAACCGCCAACTTATCCAGCACAGGTTTTATGCAGTGGATGCCCTTCCAGCTGCAACCCATCACTGAGAAACACCCATACACACTCAATCACACATTACAACCAATTTAGCTTACCCAATTCACCTATACAGAATATAATATAAATCATAGAATATATTTAACAAAATTAATAGACGGAAAGTTATAGCAACCATTTATACACTCAAAAACTCTCGGATGGTACCTTTTAAAAGGTACTTTTTGTTTCTAACAGGTCTAACAGGCGCTTGAAGGTGCATATTAATACAAAACAGTACAAATGTGTACCTCCTAGTATATTAAAGGTTAAAAAGTGAACCTTAAAATGTACAAAAGTGCACCCTAAAGGTACTAATGTACCGCTGAAAAGTACAAATGTGTACCTCTTGAAAAGGTACCGCCCCAGCAACAGATTTTGTACTTTTGTTTCTGAGAGTTTATTGTATAATTACAGAATACACACAAATTGGAATGCTCTTCATTATACAGCAACATAATAATTGGCCATCTAACCTTCTTTGTGACCAAAAGAATGTGAACACCCAAATTCTGTGTGCTTATTAGCTTTTTCAGCTTTTTTTTTCTCTCTTAGGTTTGATTCAAGATTTTTTGTTTTTGTCAAAAGAAAAAATCTGATTTTGCCGCCTCGCATTTAACCACATATATTTGCATTCAAAACAAGACAGGTTCATACAAGCTTTGCGCTCCAAACACGCAGCATGAAACTGACAAAACAACACAATATTAAAGGTTCACAACCTTATATCATTGCTCATGAAATGTCCCAGAATATCCTCAGGGAAAAGCCACCATATTCTGAGGTTTAGTGACATTCTTACATTCTAGAAGTCCATTAAAACATCCGTGTGAAGATGAGAATTTCTGAAACTGTTCAGTACCTCAGGCTAAATGTTGGGCGGAGTGAGGCTTTGAAGAATGTCAAAGCCTGTCTAAAATGATTATTTCAGAGTGAAGTGAGGATGTTTGATATGAAGTATCAAATAATTAAGTTGGACCACAACAAAAACAGCAATTAAACCACAATATAAAATGTAAAACTCTGAATCATTTTATTTTTTTGTTTTCAGTAAAATATGTTAACATAACATATTTAAGGTCCAGTGAAATTTTTTTAGACATAAGAATCAGTATGTTAGTTTTAAGGATATCTATAGTATGCTCCAGAAAAAGTCACAAAAGTTGCTTTAGAAGATATAAACCTGATTTAAACATTCAAAGCTTGCAGTTTGTCACTTCCACCTAAATAGATCAACCATTTTTTTGCATATGTTTTTTTTGCATATGTTTTTTGCTAAAATTTTTTTGCTACAACAATTTACATGTCCCACCCTCTTCAAGATGCTTCTAATTTGCTTTTCATTTTATTCACTACAGATAAAAACACTCTCAAACAAACACTATTGACTGTTCATGTCAGGGATGGGGGTGATGAAGAGGAGGCGAGGACCCAAATGCGGAGAATGAAGAATTTATTGAAAAACAAAACAAAATCAAAACTCAAATCTCCCCATGTGGGGAAAAACACAACATTATATTATACACGTAACTAGACAAGATCTGGAACTTGGCAGACACAACTTTAAACCACTGTTGTAGAGCAGAATCAGCAAACCTCGTACAACAGGGAAGGAAACAATCAACAACGGACCAGCACAGAACAGAGCACACTAGGAGAATAAATAGGAAAGACAAACCAATAAACAGACAGGCGGACAGGTGAAAATAATAATTACAAACAAGATAACAAGGTGGGTGGGACAAGACAATAGACGGGAGAGCGCATGACACAAAGAGACAATACAAGCCATGCGCTCACATAACACAACACTGAAGCACACGACAAGAGCACGTGACCACAATGTAAACACCGAGCCACGTGCTTTGACACAAGACGCAAGACACAAGCACACAATGAATGAAAACACTCACCGTGCGCTCACACATGCAGCATGCATGCTTCATCCCAGCGCCGACCAAAACCGAAACCAACAAGACTGAGACGCTGGGAATGAAACACCACGCTGCTGACAGACGAAAACACAAACACGAGTACAAGAGCGCACGCGTCTGAGGGACGCAGAGCGCGCGCGCGGCACACTCTGCGTACACCCACGACGGCGCGCGCGCACACAGAGACAGAAACAGGACCAGACACGGGTAGTGTCCGAGATCTGCAACCAAAACAAGAATTTACAAGACCAGAGTGGCAGAACCCTGACAGTTCATTTATAAAGGGGAGGAGATATTCTGTCGATATTATGTCGAACATCAAATTAAAAAGACAATACACATTTTAAAGCACTTCATGGGACTTTTATATACAGTTAAAGGGAAAATGATTAGCCCTCATGCTAAATTATAATTGTTTTAAAAATCTTTACCAAGTGGTGTTTAAAGGAGAGAAGTTTTTTTTCCAACACATTTCTAAACAAAAGTTTTAATAACTCAATTCTACTAACTTGTCTTTGCCATTGTGTCTTTACTTAATATTTCACTAGTTATTTTGCAGGATACTAGCTTAAAGTGCATTTTAAAGACTTACTCACCTCAAACAGCACAGCCAACGCTGTAATCTTTCCTCCTTCTCTAAAGGCCTCATCAAGGTCACTGAAAACATCTGCCTCATAACAGTATATCTGCATCTGTGCCCGAAACAAAAAACAGCTGATCAACATTTATATGATTTAAAAAAATAAAAATTAAGCACAAAAAAGAATTAGAATTAAAATGTAGGTATAATGTGCAGTCGGCCAGTAAAATCAAATCAAATGAAATATTAAATAAATAAATAAATAAATAAAACACTGGATTTTGTTATATGGCTATGCATTATCCCATTCAATTTAATTAATAAATTTAAATAAATACAAGTAATTCAATGATATGATTTAAAATAGATTGAGTACAATTAAAATAAACAAATACACAAATCTCAATAAGTATTATAAACTATAGAATCTAATTTGTATATTTAAAGTGATGTCTAATGTTATAATTGTAAAAAAAAAAAAGAGTTACAAATGAAATTAGATATTTTAAAAGAAACAAAATCTAAAAAAACACATAATAAATTAAATATTGAATAAATACAGACTGGAAATTAGACAGCTTAAATAAACATCTCAGCAAAAAAGCAAAATGAAAATTAATATTTTTATAAATAAAGTTTTTAAAATAAACTTTAAGACAGATTAAAACAAAACAAAATTAGCAATAAATAAATGAATACAGCCCAGCTGACTGAATAAAAGTGACTTAATCAATAAGCTAAATAAAAGTAATACTTAATAAAATATAATTAATATGTATTTAAATAATACAAATATATATATATATATATATATATATATATATATATATATATATATATATATATATATATATATATATATATATATATGTGTGTTTTTTTTTTTTTAATTAAATGGTAAATACAAAATAACTATAATTTAATTTTAATTAAGCTAGCATGTTTTAAATGCAAGCGTGAAATACCTCTAAAGGGTATTTTTCTCCATTGAGGCCATGCTCTGATCCATCAGAAGACGCGTTGCATAGGCCCCAGTGGAAACTGATGCGTCCCACCTTGAACTTGGACCTGAGCCCCCCTCCACTCACATAAAACTCTCCTCCCACATCAATGGCCACTAGAAGAAAACCATACAGAAGAATTATTCACATTAAGCTACTACAATGGACACACCACATAAAAAGGCAATGATGTTCATTTTACTGTTAATTGCAAAACATTTTATTTGCTAATAAGGGATACATGTACTGTTTGGTGATTTGGGTATTTGGGTATCAACAGTGTAATTATGTAATTAATTACACAATTGATCCCATATGTAATAACATATTGTTTAAAATATAATGTAAGAATGTGCATAACACACAATAAATGGTATTTAACAAATTATTTGTTTAAATGTAAGTACATTGACCATAGTAAATGGGTCATAACAAGAAAAACTTTTTTTTTTGTTTGTTTGTTTGTTTGTTTAAGTGCTATAATTGGGTCCCTGGTGTATCTACCTGGACAAAAAATAAGCTTTTTTCTGCAATATGTATGGGAAAACATGCCATCCTGATTTCAGTCCTGTTGTGTAGAGCTATGTAAACAAACATCTATGCACTGTTCAGGTACACTTTCTGTTTAAGGTAATTATTAGTTTCAATAGTGTAAAATGTTTATTTGCAAAGGGCAGTGCATCAAAACAGTGGTAAGATACTAGTCTATAAGTTGAATCAACTTACTACTTAATTATAAAATTATCCATTAACCATCCAGAAACATCTTAATGCAGTTTAAAAGTTGTAACCTATTTCTCTACATCATCGTCTGACTGTGGATTAAATATGTAGGTCTTGCATTACAGACACTACTTGGAGATGTGTATTACATCTTATGAAAAGGGGCGTAATATGTCACCTTTAAGATCACTTGATTTAAATTTGGACCATTTTTATTTTAGATCTGCACTTCTACTACTTAAAACACTGTGCATTAGTAGTGTAATGAATCATAAATCTCACAATTTCAGATCAAATTCTGTTTTTTTAGTCACGGATCGCACCATTTTTCGGATCATCCAAAAAGGGAAGGAGACAAATGTCATTTGCTTTCCATTTATTACAAAAACAGTACTGCAAAACACTTTTGGTTTTACCAAACAGAACTTAGAATCTGTAATTTTATTTAAAATATAATAAAGAAATAATCAGCTGAATACAAATGAATTGTCAAATATTCAGTATTGTGAAAAAAATCTGTCTAACACAACTGTTGCTGATAATGCTAAATGTATAAATCTAACATTATAATTTGTACAAGCCATATTTATTTTTAGTCTGATTTTCAATAAATGAAGTCAGTTATTCACTCATAAACATCATGTTTCATTGCTAAGAAGAATTATTCGGTGGCATATTTTTGATGGTTGGTTGTAATTAAATAATGTAATTGCGGACTGCAATTTTCATGTTTAAACCTCAAGTTAAATGCATATGACAACGATTTTACGCTAAGCATCAGTGGTTTTTTCCAAACTGTACACTGATATCCCAATATATCTGTGTAATTTGACTGTTTTTAACTCAAAAGACTAAAGACAGAATCACTTTCTTGATTTTTGAGTTTTTTAACACAAATTGGAATACAGCAATTCAAAAGATTAATAAACACGTGCAAATCCCCATCATTTATAATTTATGTTGCATGGGTGTTGAGATCCTGATCTTTTAATGATTTAGCTTACACTGAATGCATTAATGCAGGCTAAACAAGTAGTGACAGAAAACGCCTTTAATAACCTAGGAAACCTACCACATTCCGAATAACCTGCTACAACTTCTTCCATCATCATGATATTTTAGAGGAAAGCCTAAATGCTTTCATATATGTGATTTAAATTATGCACAAAGCTATCTCTCTGAGATTGTTATAAGTTTAGGACTAACCTAGAAGTAAATAAAAAAAAATGCATTAGTCTAATCTGTGGGTCACGTGTGTTCCAAACCATGGTTTGTGATCTGTGGCATGCTACTGTTCATATATCATAACTATGAAAGAAGAAAAAATCTAAAAAAGATTTCTCCATCAATGCTGTTGAAATGTATTGTGGTCACTGCAGTTTAGCCGCGATACTTGAATGTCCAAATTCTTGATATTCAATACCATTTCTGATAACACGACGAACAAATTCCACAATAATAAGAGTATAGAAATGAAGTAATGAGGGAAATGTTTTACATCATGTAAATTTGTATTTTGTATTTTTAAATGTAATTTTTTTTTAATTGAATTTTAAAGTAAAGTTTATTTTTTATTATGTACAGTAAGTCCAAATGAATGCGATAAATTAGTAAATTTGCTAAATTACTGCAATCTTATCTTATTTTCTGATTAAAACAAAGTGTCATTGTAATATTATTATTAATTAATATTATCATCACTTCAGCAAAGATATGCTGGATATAAAAAGTAGCCTATGGAAAAATAGGAAAGGATTTTATTTTTATTATATTTTTATATATTATATTTTCTATAGTTCTGTGAATATTCTCTGCACCACAATCCTGTATGTGAGCATGTAATGCAGTAATTATTTTATATCTTTTTGGAATATTATTTATGTAGCATACAGTTAAAATACAGTTGGTCTTACCTGTTTTTCCATCATTCTTTACCGTAGTTGAATCTGATGTCTTTTCCAGCCATCCCTCTAATCTCAACTTTTGGAACTGAATTTTGACCTGCGCCAGGCTCTCTTCAACATTTATTGGGGACTGTTTGGCATTGTTGCATGATGGGTATTTCTTTGCCCAGTTATTTTGGTTTAGAGTTCCTGTGGGAAACAAGAGTTTAATTGGATAAATAAACCTCGTAAATCCTTACAAATGTCAAACGATGATCTTTGCATTGAAGCACTTAAAACAGATGCCTTAGTACAAACACACACACACACACATACACATTTTTCACATTCACAGACACACAGGTGGATGATTAGACATGCATGTAGTGGTTTGCTGGTGGGTTAATCCGAGTCGTCTCTTTCTCTCTCTTTCTCTTTGGAGGACCCAACGGCACAAAAACAAAAAGAATGAACCAGGGGCCTGTTTCAGTAAGGAGGTTCAAACAACTCAGAGTTTAAACTTGAACTCTGAGTTGATTTACCGAGAGATTAAAAACTCTGAGTTTTCGGTTTCAGAACAGCTGATCTGAGTTGGGTCAATCAACTTTGAGTAGACCAACTCAGAGTTAAGCGCGCACACCGTGACTTTAAAAAGGCATTATCAATGGAGCGCAGACATTACGAGTGACTATGGCAATATCTTATAAAAGAGATCACCATTTCTTTCTCCAGCTGAACTTGATGTTCTCATGCTAAGTTATAGCAAATATGAGTGTATATATTTGAAAAGAAGCAACCATCAGTGAAGAAGAGACAGTTAGCGCGGGAAAACAGCTGCTCAAGTTAATGCCTAATTTCACTTTTTAAGTATTTAAATATTTAAGTATAATAAAATAAGTAATGTAATTTGTGACGTTTATATTTTTTTTCTTAACTTTTTTATACATTTATTAGTTTTAAATGATTTAACAGTGCACTTGTGTCTGCCTTTTTTATTGATCAAGTGATAGAGGTTAATATAACATTTAGAAGGTAAGCAGTACTAAAAATAATTTTTAGTAAGAATAATAATCCCATTAATCTAGTTACAGTGCATGTCGAAGGTGAATTTAATTTAATTATTTATTAAAAAAGGATAAGCCATTCTAGTACAGTTCTTCTGTGACAAAAATGTAGGCAATAGCTATTTTCCATCCAAATATATTACATAAATTTATGTGCAAAACTGGAATATTGCATAGAAGATGCGAATAAAATTCCATCCAACGAGTTAAAGAGAAAAAAATGGTCACTTCCTGATTAAACTGGCACCAAATATCAACAGTAAAAACAGAATTTACTGTGGTAGAAGAAGCTGCGTCAATTAATTCTTTATTTAGCCTAATTAATGTACTTGCGCCTTGATGTCAGAAGACAATGCTGAAACACAATGAACACGTGGGGGCGTCTGAAGCCATGAGACGTGGAGACTCTTGACACGCACCAGACGTTCGGAGGTAATTAATAATATACACTAATACTGAAACAGTTAAGGCATTTTAGAATGACTAACACAATATTTAAGACATGTTACAGTGTGCTCAGCCTGCTGTTTGTCCATTTACACACATTTTCATTATCATGATCTTTTTTTTAATGTACATACTGTAATTTGTTCAGTAAAAGTTTTCCATTGTAGTTTATGCGCACATTTTCTATCGAATAAAAGTTTATCCTACTCAGTTATGCACGTTTTTTATACATATTTTAAAAAGTTATGTGCATCATGACGTTTCTATCAATCGTTTTATGCACGTATCCAAAATGAGCATTAAAATAGGTGGGTGGAAACGTAAGGCTAAGGCGAGAAATACCGCTTCATCTTTAAAAAAAGGGGAGGAGACAGACAGAAACTCTGAGTTTAGAGAATAAAACCTGCTTCTGACCAGGTTAGATTCACAGAGTAAGTTACCACAGTAACTGACTCTGAGTTAAAGTTACCTCTCTTTCAGAAACAGGCTTGACTTACCCTGCTTTCTCGAGTTTAACAAACCTGCCATTTTGAAACGGAAAACCCAGAGTTTCTCTCATTTCAGGGTTAAAATACTCTGAGTTTTCAGTTAACCTCCTTTCTGAAACAGGCCCCAGGTCACCAGCAGTTCTAGGTCATTTGCATTTGCATGTCAATAGCTGCATTACACCCCCAGCTGTACAGTGGAATACAGGACTGTTGAGTCAAATACAGTACAACAGACACAATATGTCCATAAGGAAATATGCATAAGGTGTAAAATAGGGTGTTGTAAGCAGTGTTAGGTAAATAACATTATTACGCCTATATTTTAAAAATAACATGACATCCTTTTACATTAATTTCCTTAAAAAGTAACTAAGTAGCACATTTAAAAAAAAAAAAATTACTTAGGATTGTAAAAAAAGTTTTGGAGTATGGTGAAATTACTGTAATGCGAATCATTTGGTTGTTTATTTTTAATTTTTTTTTACTTATAGTATAATGAATAGACAATTTTATTTAGTAGTAGTAGGAGTTTGCATGTTCTCCCTGCGTTCGCGCGGGTGCTCCGGTTTCCGCCACTGTCCAAAGACATGCAGTACAGGTGAATAGGGTTGACTAAATTGTCCGTAGTGTATGAGTGTGTGTGTGTGGATGTTTCCCAGAAATGGGTTGCAGCTGGAAGGGCATCCGCTGCGTAAAAACTTGCTGGATAAGTTGGCGGTTCATTCCGCTGTGGCAACCCCGGATTAATAAAGGGACTAAGCCGACAAGAAAATGAATGAATGAATTTAGTAGTAGTAGTAGCAGTAGTAGTAATAGTAATAATAATAATAATAATAATAATGATAATAATAATAATAATGACTGTCTCAATCTTTTTTTAAAAATCCAAACAATAATAAGACATTTCTATCCTAAAAAAAGTCCCCGTTTACACCGTCAGGTCTTGATGCTTAATTCCGATTTGTTGCCTATATCTAATTTTTTTGCCTGTCCGTTTACACGTTGTTTAAATTGTGACCCATATCCAATTCATGCGTTTACACTTGCCATACAATTTTCGATGTCGTGCACGCATAAAGGCGGGTCCTACAATCTGTGCAACACTAACCACGATGGAAGAAATTGTTTTGTTTTTAGCTCTGCGAAATATGCGAAGTGTAGTATAATCAGTGAATATTTCAGTCCAGATTTACCCCCACACAGTTTATGTAATGGTATAGCCCTGATGTGTGTGTGTAGTTAAAGCCTTTGCCTGTAAGCGCACTGGTGTTAGAGAAAATAAAGTTATTCTATGTGTAGCCCGCAGTGCGTGTATTAATGGCGACAAAAAGCAAAAGTTACAACACGAAGTTCGTCCAACTTTAAAATAATTTTGAAGCAGGGGAGGGAAAGGGCCGTCATTGCAGCTTGCACCTATGGTTTATACAGTATGGTGTCCTCCACCATTCAGAGTTTCAGCAAATTGTGGTGACTGACTTCTTTCCTCCTCCGTGTTTCCTCTGTTGTTTTTGTTTTTCACGTTGGCGTCTCCACACACCCTCTTTCTTCTATGTCATTAAACCGCAGGGAAGCACCACATTGCCGCAAGTTTAATAACATATCAAATAGAATGCCTCAATAAATCCGATCTGCCTGTTTACATGACAGTCGCATTGTCACATATCCGATTTATGTCTGATCTATTTCCACATATGAAGGAGGCCTGAAACCGATCTCTGAATATCCGAATGCATGCATTTTTTCGTGTTTACACGGCCATAGAACAGATCCGATCTGTGTCACATATGAGCAAAAAATTGGAATTGGGTCACATTTAACTAGCAGTGTAAACGGGGCCTAAGTAGCACATTTATTTAATTTTAAGTGACAAAGGGCCCTATCATACACCCGGCGCAATAAGGTGCAAGTGTTTGGCGTGACTTGTGGCTATTTTCAGACCAGCGCAACTGTAAATTTTCACGTTTTGTGCCACGTTGTTTAAATAGAAAATCTATTTGTGCCACTTATTTGGACACATGGGTGTTCCGGTCTATAAAGTAGGAGTGTTAAAGCACATTGTTAGGATTGCACCTTATTTATTTTGAGGAACTGAATTGTGCCACTAACCAACTGAAAGCTGGTCCAGTGCAATACACAGCAATACACAAATATCTTTACACTTAAAAAAATTTAAGGATTAAAACCTTTATGCCTTCATGGTGGGGGGCTTTTTCAGTTTATTCATGATCATTTGCATTTGTATAATGTTAATATTATTAGCAGTATTGTTTATTATATGCACATATATACTTGCTTTAATTAAAAGATTTTTAGATTTGTCCACTTGTTAGGTTTTGGAGACGTATGCATTACCATATGGGGCATAAAAAATAGGACGTGTGTTTGGCTATAACTCAGTTTTTTGACCACTCTTCATTATCATTGTTCATTTATTCATTTGCTGGAAATTAGAATAGAATTTCAAAATAGTTTTGAAACATCTGCAAAGTTTAATGTACAATTTGATATGGATTATTTTATAAAGTGCAGGGATGTGTAAACATAAATTTTCTAAATATATATTTAGAAATATTGTTGTATCTTTTGCTAATATACTGTAAATGCACGATTTTTTCAGCATGACAAATAGCTGTCCATGATGTGTATGTTTTGGGTCGTGTTGATTGTTAATTAAAAATAAAAACCTTTCTAAAAATGTACGTGTTGTTTATATGTTGGTTTACAATTACGGTTATGAGTAATCACATGGGATTTTTCTCCTTAAAAAAAGCAACTTGGAGCAAAATAATAATAATAATAATAATAATAATAATAATAATAATGCCTTACATTTATATAGCGCTTTTCTGGGCACTCAAAGCCCTTTACACAATGGGAATCTCCTCATTCACCACCTGAATGATGCGACAGCAGTCATTTTGCGCACACCACACACCAGCTGATTGGTGGAGAAGAGTGATGAAACCAATTATGATATGGGGAGGGTTAGGAGGCCATGATGGACAGAGGCTAGGGGGCAGATTTGGCCAGGATGTCGGGGTTAAACCCCAACTCTTTTTCGAAGGACATGCTGTGATTTTTAACGACCACATAAAGTCGGGACCTCGGTTTAACGTCTCATTCAAAAGACGACGCTCATTGAGTAGTATAATGTCCCCATCACTATACTGGGGCATTAGGACTCACACAGACCGCAGGTTGAGCACCCCCT